TTAATCAAGTGTATTGGCTAGAATTACCATTGTTAGAAGGATTATCTTGAGAAAAAAATTATATAAATATGAGAGATAAAGTGGATTATCTTATATTTATGATCAAAATAAAAATCAAACAATATCTTATATTAAAGATTGGAGGTATAATCATTGAAAATTCTTATAATTTGATCGAATTTTAATTTTAATCATGGTAATATAAATGATTGGTTTTGATCCCTATGATTTTTGTGAAAATTTGATCTGAATTTGACGAATAGTTCCTATAAAAACTTGTTTGTTTGGATCACATGCTTCAATTTGCTAAGAGAAATAATTACAAGTGTTGTGTAGTTGTTGCCATTGGACTTGCTTGCTTGTGAAGTTATTAAAGTTTTTACTTTTTAGACAAATACCGAATAGTTGGGTGCTGCCGTATGCGTCCCGTGATGCGCTATGCAACAGTTGACCGTTGGATTTGGTATAAATGTCGTGCCGTCACTGTTCATCTATTCTCTTTCTATTTTTTTTTTACCATTTAGGTAAATTACACGTGGCGTCCTTGCACGGTTTTTTTTTTTTTTTAACCAACTTAGATTACTCATGAACGCTGAGCATTAAAAAATATTTTTTATGCAAATTTGTTTTAAAAATTTAAAATCATGACAATGTTGTTTCTTACCGCTGAAAACATTAATATCGCTATTTTAATAGTTAATGGGATAAAATTTATATTATTTTAAAATTTCAAAATAAATTTGCATTCAAGAATACTTTTAGGATTAAGGTACACCTAATATCCTGAACTATTTTTTCAGGTATGTCTAGTGTCCTAAATTAATTTTCAGTACATCTAGTATTCCAAACTGATTAAAACAGAGCGTTCATATCCCAAGCTAATAGAAATGTTATCTTTGACTGTTAGCTTGTCAAGTCAGTTTAAAGTTGATCTAAAAATCTTACATGAAACATCACATAAGTAGACACTACACTTACTGACAACAATCCCGACGGGCTCCCCATGAAGCTATTTACCGACCAAAACAGACTCAAATCATGCAAAAGCGGCTGCGTTTCAGCGGCTGGTGGGAAATAATCCGGCCGTATGTCCTAAATTTCCCGTCATTGGTGACAAAATTCCCGAGAACTTTAAGCTGAGTCATGGTTTATTCATGAATTAGGATTAGGAAAATAGCCAAACATCACTCTGCGCAGTATCCATTATCGGTTTTTGCTGTAATTTCTTCTGTTATATAAGCACACTGGTTCTTCTGTTCTTCAAATATAAACATATATTTGGGAATGCGTGTCTCTACTCTGTTCAGATGTGGGACCTCACCTACCATCGCAGTGGCCATCGCTCACCGCCATGGTAGCCACTGCTCTGGTGGTAGCTGCTCTGTCACTAAGTTGCCTCATGATGGACTCCTCATCGTCGACGATTTCAATCTTCTCCTCCCTTTTGGCCTTTTTCGTTCGAATCGGAGAGAGATGAGGGTCATCTATACTCAGTTCTTCTTTACAATCACGACCCCTTCTTCAGTTCTCCTTCTTCTTCCTCCTCCTCTTTTTTTTCCTCGTTTGGTGATATCCTTCTTCCTCCTTTTGATTGCCGTAATGGGTGCCACTGGTGTTAGAAAATCCACAATCTCGATTGACCTTGCACGTCAGCTCTGTCATCCCTGGCATTTCTTCCCGGAGGAGGCTTTCCATCGTCGTTGTGGGGTCTAACTCGTTCGTTCGCCATCGGTTCATTTGGGTGGTGACCGATGAAATTCAGACACCTCAGGTATTGCATGTGGCATCTCAAAGAAAGAAAGATGGAACATTTTCACCGGAGACTCCATACCCAATGGCCAGTGCTCTAGTGCATAAAGAGGAAACCATATTCAAACACCTAAAAATCTAACACTCTAGTTCCCGTGTTGTTTATCACACAGCTATGGTAGAGTCCAAATCATTGATTTACACATCACAAAGCTCTCTGTTCGTGCAAAAGCTCAAAGCAATCGTCGACCGGCGTTGCTTCCCCTGTAGGTAAACTCAAATATGATCTCTGCATCGTGTCGTTTTGTGCTATGATTTCTTCTTTTACGTAAAAAAAAAAATCTCATTCTTCCATCCACTGTGTCTTGGCCGCTCCATAGCCATGGCTTTAGTTGCTGCTCTGTCACTTACTTCCCTTGTTCTCTGTTAATTAGAGAGATGAAACTTCGGCGTTAGTTGATCAGATGCTCATGTGTTTGCCATGTAGGATTTTTCCGTCAACTTTAAGCTGAGTTAGCAAGCTAACTGTCAGAGATAACATTTCTGTTAGCCTGGGATATGAATGCACCGTTTTAATTAGTTTAGGACGCTGGATGCACCAAAAATTACTTTAAGACATTGGGAACACCCGGAAAAATAATTCAGGGTTATATAGAAAAAATTTTAAAATTTTTTTGTCAAATCTTAAAAATTTTCATCGGTTTTCACTTTTCACAGCTTGCATATATAGAAAAAAACACATAATAATTTTAAGGGTTATGATACATCTAGCATCTTGAAATATTTTTTTAGGTACATCTAGCACTCTGAAATATTTTGTGATGTATTCAATACTCCAAAGTATTTTTAGGTACATCCAACACCTTGAAATATTTTTTTTTTGTCTTGGTGTGCACCAAAAAAATATTTTGGATGCTCGACGCATCTAAAATTTTTTTGAAGTACTAGATACAGCAAAAAAATACTTTACAGTACTGAACGCATCTAAAAAAATACTCTAGAGTGTTGCATGCACCACAAAATATTTTGGAGTGTTAGATGTATCTGAGAAAATATTTTATGGTGTTGGATTCATTTTAACCCTAGTTTTAACAAAGTAGAGAGCATGACACTAGAAATTCATCAATTAACTTGAAAATGTTAAGAAAATTAGTCAATTTGGTTATTTGTAACAAATATATGGTGATTTCTCCAAACTATTATATCTAATTTTGTGTATTGGGACCACTCATTGATGAAAACCTTTTAATATATACTTTGAGGAAAGAATTATAAATTTAAAGTAGATTGTGATATTATATTTAAAAAAATATTTAACTCCAAACTAATTCTTATATTAAGAATTAAAATTCCATGCGGAGGGAGGGATTCATGAATTATGATGAGTATATACCTTTGACTCCCTTGCAGAGTGGGATAAGAGTAGACAATCATAATATGAGCTTTGTTATTCCCTCTTTATCACAGGCTAACGATTAATCTTTTATGGAATTGGAGAATAATATAAAAAACTGCATAAAAGATGTGAATTTTTTTAAAAATTATTATTCAATTTAAAAAATACTTATTATTAGCTTTTATTTCCTTGAAAAAATATCTATACACGTTAAAAATTGCAATGTTGAATTTTGATGATATATTTTAAATTTTAATAATATTGATTCAAAATATAGATGTTGATCATAGAAATTAGTAGCTGAAAATAACCTAAACTTAAATTTTATATACTATTTTCCGTCCTAATTATAAAATCTAATTAAGAAAAAGTAGTTCGGTTTTAAATGTGTTTAAAAGAAAGAAAAGGACAGCGAGTCCACGGACCCACATCATTTTCAAATCAGCTGGCAAAAAACGCTAAAATTCAAAAAGATGGGAAGGAAAGAAATCAATATCGCATCAAGTGGAGGACACTGCCACACTGGTACTGGCGACTGTGGCTCCCGTAAGTTACTAAAGTTTTTTTTTAACAAAAAATGAGAGTTTAGTCCCTAAATTTATTTTAAATAATGATTTTTATTTTATTTTTTAGAAAATGATAAAATTGTCTCTAATATTACATTTTTATTATCTCTCATCTCTCTCCTTTTTCTCCTACATTTAATAGGAACGAAAATGAAAAAAATGACATTAATTATTTTGACATCTTGTATTTTAGATGATAATTTTTTTCTAACCAATATCTTATATTATGCTAATCAGCTGGCTATGCCATACTTTTCAAAGGCATCTCCTGCCGGTTGGACGTGCCCTTTAGTTGTTAGTCTTAGCCGCGGAGAGCCCTCGTCACTAATTTCTGGTGATTATGGATTAGCTTAGCCACACCCGTCAAGGGCCATTTTTATCGTGTTTGGGAGACTACTTTTTCAGCATGAGAACCAGCCATTGTTATGACAAGTTCACGTAAGGAAGAGATCCTTACCAATACATTTTAAAAGACAAAGCAAAAAAACAACTCTTGTATTAAATTTATACAAGTACAGATATCGATTCAGCATCCAGTTTGCCAGCCCGCTGCAGATGATTGCAGTACTTTTGTCATGGAACAGGGCGAGTACTAAATATACAGCTTGAATATTCTAAGGCATCTTTTGCCTGTTTATTGGGTAGTTTGAAAAACCTATGAAAGTGGTTAAAAAAAAAAATCTTTACGGTCTTGTATACTTAGCGGGTGCTTGGCACGATAGAAAATTGAAAAACACTTCCTGCAAAACGAGAGATTCCTCTACATATTTACTTCGTCTACCGTAAAAATACTTTCAAAACTTCCATTCAAATACCCTCTTAGTTCGTATATTATAAAATCTTTATTGAAAAGCTACTCTAAACATCTTTTTACTGTGAAAGCAACGCTCATAACTCCACTACCATCACGATTTGAAGGCGGAAAAAAAAAAACACACAACCATCACGATCTCGTTCAACTTCAAAATGGAAAATGAAAGATGTGGCACAATAAAATGATTTGAAACGAAGCACGTAATTTTCACATTACAGTCTATGCATATTATAACCATCACTTAAAAGTAATCCTTTTAATTATGATCCACATACTAAAATTAAAATTTTAAAATTAATGGTAAGTGGAACGGATGTAAAATAGCAAACACAACTATATGACCTTTCATTCCAATCAAGATTCTTCTTTTTTTTAAAAAAAAAAAATGCCGGGATTTCAATTTGAAATTTCTCTAAAGAAAGAACATGAGCACCAAGCTGCCAAAACCGAGATCGTAGATCAACCCAGAAAAAAGTAGATAAATTCCGTATTCAAGAATCAGGTTAAAACTTAAAACCAGGTATCAAACATATAATAGACTAGAGGCAAATTGCAACCAAGTGCTACATATAAATCCCTTTAAACGCCAGAAAGTGAATACTAAAGTCATACCCCTCCAGATCCTGTACATAGAACACTGCACAAAATAAAGGGAGATACCTTAATACATTCTTCCTTTCTTACCACGACGGAGATAAACATATATATAAAATATCCATCACGCAACAGAATTCTTTATTCACATCTCAACTTTGAGAAGAAAAACGATAAAATGAGCCATATAACACTCATCATACCCTAAACGCCACCAGCAAACACGTGTGTGCTCGATCACTTGAGCCCCAGGTTCATTAATATACCAACATCCAACTCTGACTCCCACGACACCCAGTTTATTCCTCCTACCGGCCTTTATTATATAGTCTGAAGCTTTGTGGCCGGATAAAGGGTTAGCACTACATATCATGGGCAGCCAGATGAAGGTAACAACAATTCTGATAGGTGAATCATGGCCATTTCCACCAGAGAAGTGAACAAACCATTGCCATACCAGTAATCCCTGGAGATACAGGCCCCAAAATGACTGGGATAATCCTTTATTTAACACCTATTCATTCAACCAGACAAGGCATTTACTCTTATGAATATTGAACTGTAAAGATGCTTGCATATCATCCTTCCTTCGGGCAGGAGAGCTCAGCCAAATCTACATAATTTTAAGAGCACAATTGAATAAGCAGAGGTAGATTCACCACTAAACCCTAAATAAGCATGCATTCAGGTATTCAGATTTAGAAGCAACAATGAGTGCTATCACATTCCGTTCTTTGGGATGCTGGCAGCAGCTGCCAGGCTCGAACAGCATAAACATCAACACACAATTGGACAATAGAAGAGTGTAAATGTAACTCTCAGCAATTTTCAAGCTGTATAGTTCGTGTTAAAAAACTCAGTTCAAGTAGGAATCAGTACTCACCTTTCTTTGTACCAAGCGCCCGCAACAAGTCAAGGCCAAATAAACTCCAACAATATTCAATGACATAGCAGCAGAGGAGTCCTAACGATGGATAAGCAATGAGTAGAACATTGACAATACCTACAAGGAAGTCAAACATGTTTGTGTTTAGATACCACAAAACAGGATTTAAGCCATGTCTTAAGCAAGCAGCAATTAATTTATAGTTGATGCATACCATTCATACTCTCATACTGACATCACACAAAGTAACGACCTGTCCAGGTCGACTGTCCTTGAAATTGCTCAGGGAGTGGAGTGAATTGTTGATTTCCAGCAATGAACTGTTGCGGCGGCTGCGGATGCTGCTGCTGCTGGCTATAAATTTTTGAGAGTTCAGGAGTGTGATAATCTTGCCAACCATTTTGTTTCTCCCCCTGAGGCAGCACAGGTGGAACTTGTTTTCCAGGGAAGGGAAAGCTGACTGTCCCACCCAAGCCGTTATTGTTAATGACCTGCTGGGGATTTGAATGGGAGAAAGTAAGGGGACCATTAGAGCCCAATCCTTTGGTTGATGAATGCAATTGATATCCATCCAACCAACTGTAATTATCCAGCATCGGATTCCCGCCAACTGAATCTGAAATATTAGTTTTATTTGCTTGGTTAGAAGGAAAGGCACTAAAACCAGGGGGCGGTCCAAGGTGCCTAGCAGGCCGACTAACTGCTTTACTTAAACCAGCTTGCACAGTTGATGCATTCGCAGCCACATTATCAATTGAAATTCCAGAAGTTGCAACAGCATCAACTTTGGATGGTATTACAGATTCTGGAGCTTTTGAGAGACCATGAAAAAAAGCAGCAGTGCCAGCACTAAAAGAATGTTGTTGGGTGGGAACAAGAAGTGCTCCATGATTGGGGATGCGTGCAGCTTCCTGAAGATCAGGCTTCATCACATGACCATTCTCCAAGAAGGTGAGATCTTTTAAACTGTTAGCAAGAGAAATTTCCTCTAAGCACCTTGAGGAATGTGGCTGAACCGTTTGAAGGTATTGAGGCAACATACCACCAGCAGAAACAGGCATGCTCAAATTTGCATCAAAAACATTTTGACAGTTTGGATTACTTAACGGATTTGCAATAATGTTTGCATGAAATTTTTGATCCCCACCAGCAGCCTTCTGAACAGGTTCCAAGCCTTCAGGAGCTGTCCATGTTGAAATGACCACTTCAGCTGGCTTCTCAGACACTATAGGCTTAAAAACTATAACTTCATCATCTTCATCTCCGTCCAAATAGTAATGTTGATTTGGCAGTACAGTTCCTGCCTTTGTTTTGTCTGCTGGATTTTCTTGCACCAGCTCTTCCACATTAGGCATGCCTGAATAGGTGGGGGTAACAATATCATCAACTGTTTGAGGCTCCCCACCAATTACGAATTTCTTCCCCTTCAAGTCAAAATGAATCACATTCTGATTAACCCTGACAACATTTGCTAAAGCCTTTCCAGCAGATACAATCCTTTTGACCCGAGCTTTTCTTTCCTTGTCACTCTCACTTCCAAGGGAATGCTTCCTTGAGAAATCCAGGATGGTTTGTGCAGGAAGAATAGGAAGGAATCCCCTCAACTCAAAATCCTCCCACAAAGCAAGTCGGTTTTCAGTTTCTCCTTCTTCATACCTGCTCATGTTATTAAAGCAAGTATTTTCTTCCTCATCCTCAACAGCTATTGGCCCAACTGAAAGTAGCTTGTTCAAGAAGGATATACAATGATGCCAAAATTTTGATCTGACCATTGTTTGGTTCTCATCTGCATCACTGCCAGCAGCAAAATCTGGATAACTGGCCAACCATTCCACAAAAACCAAGATGCCTGGTAGAAGATAACTTGAGGAAGGTTCACACAGCTGTACACATCTTTCTACAATGTATCCCATCAGCTCAAAAGCTGCGGTGAATGCATTCTGAAGTAGAACAGCACGCTGCACTATTTCAGCATAACTTTGACCTTCAGATTCTCTATTCACATTATGAACTGTAAAAATAAGAATAGATACAATTCTGACAATTGCAAGTCCATTTTCAAGGGTGTCTGTGCCAAAATTCAGTTCATCATTTTGTCCTCCAGACAGAAGCTCCCGCAGGCCAGCACTAACCAGAGACAGAACTTCAGTGAAGGTCTCAAGGCTACCAACAAGGGAAAAGAGACAAATAAGTGAAAAAAAAAAAAGTGCACGCATTGATACTATTTAGTATAATGCAAACAGAGATGTGCAAAGAAGCGGGAAAAAAAAAATCAGGGAATAATTACCTTGTACGTGTGAACAAGATTCCATTTAGACGAACAAATCTAGTGCAGAAGTTTTTGCATCTCTCCGGCATATTAGATGCTCCATCTTTTCCAGGACTAGCTTCTACACCACTACTCCTTACAGCCACTTTCGTTTCCACTTTTCCTCTTCCTTTCCCAGTTAACCTCCCAGAAGATTCCTTCACTCCAAGAGCTTTGACATCACCAGGGAGCTGAGAGTAGCTTTGACGATTCTATTAAAAGAATATCCAGTTAAAATAACACAAGACAATTACTTAAAGGATCCCCAGAATAAAGATAAAGGAAATCAAGGACGGCTCATTATGCCTTCCCCTAGATCACCAGATATTTACAACTTGCCATTTCGTAGTGCTGTTAGGTTTCAGTATCAAACAGTAAGAGAGGTTCGAATAGCTGAATTTGAATATCACAAAAATACTTCAGCATTCAAACCATCAATATACAAGGAATGTCAGAGTTAAATAATACAACAGAAAATAGGAATGGAAGAAAATTCTCAAGATATTAGATATTTTCATGATAAAAGGATATGTCACAATCAACATCACATTTGAAATACCTTCTCAAATGCAACAATCAAATTCTCTCTGGCAGTTGTAAACGGACTCTCCACAGCCAAACTCCGGAAATACCGATAGATAGTCACTAGCTCATCCCCAGAATATGAAGCCAACAGAGCAAGCTGAAAAGAACAAATTTATTAAACTGGAGTATAATTACCACGATCATCAATTCAGAAAAAGTGAGATATAAACAGAAAAATAAATAAGAACAAATGATGAAACGGCAAAAACCTGATGGTGGGGATTCCCACTTGATGGACAAAGAGATGCAGCTTGTAAGTAGTAACTAGAAGCTGCTCCAAACTCGCGATTTACAGAGTCACCTTCACCATACAGTCCTTTGTACCGAGCAAGGTCACCCAAATATATCAGACACCTGTGACAAGATACTAAACCTTTCTTCATTTCTGCAGATTTCTTCTCATCCTTTTCCATGGCAATTCGGTTTTCTGAATCCTCAAAGTGACCCAGTGGAAGACCATACTTTGCTCTTACTTTCATAATAAGATCATGGTAAAATCCAGTTGCTTCTGAAAGGAAGGTCTTAAACTGCAGCCTTATTTTAGTTATCCTATCAGGTCGTGCAGGGGCTTTGATCCCCTGTGTGGAATTTGAGCTTGTGGAAGAAAGAGCAGCACTGAAGTATGCCCTCAACTCCTCAATCCGCTTGTAATGCAACTGCCATAAGGCATACTCAATATTGTGCTGCTCGGCAAAGGTATGGTCCTCAAGAATTATAGCTTCATAGTTCTCACGCATTTGTTGCCAGGCATTTGGATCTGATGGGACCCGTGCCTGAGCTGACCTCCGGCGCTTGTTCTCCAATTCAACATTCTGAGTTATTGACAAATCAATATATTAAGATGACAATCTCTTCTGTTAGTTGTAACATTTGTTGTGAGGCTTATTAACATAAGTTACGTATTTCATAAATAATGTGAATTTTGAAACAAAGAAACTCATACTTTTAAGCAGGTTTTTATAATCATTAGTTTGGTTAATTAATCAATCCCAAAGAGAGTGAAGCCTCTACAACGGTACAATAATATGTTTTCAAATGATTTTTGTTAAGAATCCATCATATTCAACAAAGATACAAGAACAATAGAGCACCACGATTAGGAATCCAAAATATTCAGGGCACCTAAATGAGCAACATACAAAAATTGGGGGGAGGGGGTCTTGTCAACATGACCCACTATGGCAATGGCCAATGAAGGCTGGGTAATGGTAAAGGCCACAAAGCACTAAATTATCCAAAAGTCCTAATGGCAAATAGTGTTCACAGGAGTTTACTAATAACAAGATTAGTCTTAGTTTTGATGAATAAGTTTTTTAATGCAAATATGTACAGATTTTTCAATTGAGACAAAAATTCTTTAAAATCATAATTGCAAGAAACCATGTAAGTAACAGTCAAATTTCCTAATACGTTTTGCTAGGCAAAAAATGTGAGCTCTAGACAGATAATTCTCTGCTTGGTTATCTTGTAAGTATACCAGTCAATAATGACCAAGAAGAAATACAAAATACCTTCTCATAAAGGCGTTGTGCGCGCTCCCGTGATGAAGGAGCAGACATTTTATCCATCTGTACAATCATCATCCATTATATTTTGTTGACCGAACTCAAGCTACAGTAAATATAAAAAAAAACACTTAGATAAAATCTCAGCTATAATATATGAGTTACAGTCTAATTAAATGGAAAAAAAAGGCATCTTTGTCATAAACAAAGGAATAGTTTTCATGCTGTGTCGCAGATCCTGAATCCATACAGCCTATTTCCACATTATGAATCATATTATAAGATAGGCCAGTAAATTGATAAATAAAGTAACAAGAATCAAATGATTATGTACCTACAGTATGATTGAAATACACAAGACAGTAAATTTAAACCAAGGTAAAAAGACTAATGTCACATATTGTTCCAGGCCAGAGATTTTGAAACCATAATAGAAGTTACAAAAATATTATTACAATAATGCCTATTGAACAAATTCCTGTACATTATCATAGTCTTCAAATAATGAACTTTTATTTCAAGAAAGTCACTCAGAAGGCATCAATGTATCATTGGGTTTGAAATTGCTTTCACAAACCATCCATCTTATTCCAGAATCACTCTGAGATATGATTTTGCCTATCTCTCTGCTAGCTATACTTAAATAAATAGCAACTGAATATATCAATGGTTCCGATGTTTTAGCAGATTAGCAGACGATGATAGATGCACACACTCTAGAGTCTAGACCAACACCAAAGCTGTAAAAAAAGGAATGGGATTGACTTTTAAAAAATAATATACTATATCGGGCCTTAATACAAAAGCTAGTTGACTAATTTGAGTAGATTAAGGAAATAAGTTAAGTTAGTTATTTGTTATAAATAAGTGTTGTATGTCCTAAAATATCCTTGCTAATGAAGTATTGGCTAAAACTACTGTTATTAGAAGGACTATCTTTGAAAAAAAAAAAAAGAATAAATATGAGAGATAAAATGGATTGGGGTCTTATATTTACGACTAAAATAAAAGTCAAATGAGATCTTGTATTAAGGACCGGAGCTAATATTATTTTTAATTTGAAATGAATATAGACACCAAAATTTCCCCTCCATGCTGCAAATAATATAGCCTTTCGTATCCATGTCACTACTATAAATGCGTATTGTGACTAACCACAAATTAGGTAACCCTAATCGATACCCTATGATAGTAAAAATCAAGATTTGCTTTTAGATTGATGTCATGCTTATAGATCGATGTGCTTCTTGCGACAATTGTTAGTCCAAACCGCCAACAGAGCGGGGGGAAGACAAATAAGCATGACCTTCAACCCTCAGTTCTTCATCTTGATGTAAACAAACCAGGCTCAATGTCACATAAAGCTCTTCTACCAACATGGCTGTAACTAGACTGTCAACAGACGTCCAGAGTGAGAAATTACATGGCACATACGATAAGAAGATCTAAATTAGATCAATGACAAGTAGTTATCTGATCAAGTCAGTGGTGGGACCCAATAAAAGTCAGCTGACCAGTCCACATGACTACTCATTCTCAACGGTTTAGTCAACCACAATGGGTAGACTAAGAACACAAAATTTTACCAACCAATGCACCAAAATTTCAGAACGGACCTTAATACTTAGGCAAAACAACATTCCGTCCATCACATACAGATTCAGCCATCATCTGCTCAAATCTGTACAACCAAGATCAGGTTAATGAAAAATAGGAAAAAAGGAGAAGAAAAGGACAATTTTAATGATTATCGGGAACTCCAGAAATATTATGGTACCCTGCATATATAACTAAATTTCCAATTAAGGTTGGACACAAATCGTTGTGCGGAAATAAAAAACATGATAATTTCCTAGAAAAACCCTCCATCCAGTCCTCAGTCGCAGAAAATTTGGATAATTATACAATTTGAAGGGATAAATATTAAATTCTACCGTTCGGGTGGGACCGTATTAACACCAGATCCGCGAAATCCATCAATCTATCATAAACCTAAACCATTCAACTCCAAAATTTCCCCGAAGAAGACATATGCACACAAAAACAAGAACTGAAGTATTCCAGAAGAAAAGTGCTCCCGAAAACTCACCTCTTGAATCGAATCCTCGAAGACGCCAGGATCAAAGCATACAATTGATTTCAGAGAAGAGATAAATAAGAGGGAACGCCCTCGCTAGGGTTTCGCAGTGCGAGAGACAAGAGGAGAGGGAGGGGGAAAGGGAAGTGGAAGGGAGAAGAGAGAGAGAGAGAGGGCGTGGTATCCTGGGTTCGGGTCCAAACTAGATGAGGTACGAAATTCAATGTTTTTCCGTCTCGCTTACCGGGTTTCTTGGGGGCGGCGTAGCCGAACACCAAAACGACCCCGTTTAGTCACGACCTCTGCTCATTTTTGAATGGAAAAACCCTTGACCGTACCTCCTTCGTCTGCCAAGGGGCCAAATTATCGGTGACTCCCCCCCCCCCAAATCTAAAATAAAAGGGAAAAAAAAATTTGCTGAAAAATCTCATAAAATTTATTATCTTTAGTTTATTCGCTAAAAAAGTATAACATATTAATATATTTTCAGTTATGTGAAAATATTTTTTTTACATATAATTAAAAATGAGTTGTGAAAAATAAGTTGCGCCTGCTGAAAATAGATTGCTTTTAAATTGTTAAATAAATTTTAGATTTTAAATGTAGAGATCCTTAAGCAATAAATTTTTATTAGTGTTTTAAAACAGTCTTCCCAAAAAAGTATTTTTGACCAAAAACGAAAAGGAAACAAAGGAATTAACTTGAGCTGGAGTTGAAATTTTATTAGGCATGCTCACAATTAAAAAAAAAAAAAAAAGATACTACAAAATTATAAGTTAAAGGCTTAATACAAAAAAAAAAGAGTTGAAAATTATAAAATATCCATGAATTATCTGTTAATAAGACTATTATATTTTATTATAATTTAAACTCACATATACTCTTGTAAAATAAAATGAGCGATACCATTATCCAATGATTATCTTGTTTTGTGTTGATAGATTGAGAAGATCTTTATTTGCCTTATCTTCACAATCACAATTTTTTTTTACCAAGATATCAATCATGTTGATGAGTCACATCTATGATAATAAATTTCTAGATAAAATCACCCTTGTTCATGTATATAATAATATGAATAAATTAAAGTATAACGAAACTTTTGGGAATCACTCCATTCGCCATTGCAAGCTTGAGGAAGCTCAGCCTGGTTGCCGTGATACCCTTTCTTCCTTCTGTTAGCATGCCAGGTTCTTCATTTCCTTCAACAGTCGGTGTCGGTCAATGATGACCTCCAATCCTTCAGAGGTAAGGCCTCAACATGTATGGCAGCTTCAACTACGTATAGGAAGAGAAGGCCATCAATCTTTGCTCACCAAAGCATTATATTCTTTATATTCTTAATATAAGACCTAATTAATTAACTAATTTAAATAGATTAAAAATATTAGTTAAATTAGTTAATGTAATATGTGTTTTTCTAAAACATCTTATACATCTTCTTTACTTTCATTCCTTTATCTTTTACTTGATTATTGTTGGGAAAATATCAATAGAATAAATTTATAGAGAAAAAAAATGATAAACATATGAAACGGGTCTTATATATAGAACTAGCATTAACTTTCCAATTAGATACTCCTCCGATTCTAAATATAAGATCTCTTTTGTGGTGTAAATTATACCACAAAAAAGGTTTTATATTTAGGACGGGAGGAATACTATATTAAAGATTGGAAGAGTATCTCGGATTCAAATTTAATTAGAGCTATGATGCATTAGAGATCTGACTGCCTCATGTTGCTTTTGGTGTGTTTCTTGCTCGCACAGCATGGGGAGATGTTTAGGTTAATGGAAGCATTAGTTGCAGACGAACTCACACTTAGTTTGATGCTATTGGGATCTCACTTTAACTAATTCATCAGAACTAAGAAATAGTAGTTAACTTGTTAAATGTATCTCAAATAAGTTTTTTTTCACTTTACCCATATTAAAAGAGGGTGTGAAGAAGAGAGAAAAATACACGAAGTTACATTTACACATTAATTATAGGGAAAAAAATTAACAAATAAGCATTACTTATTCTTCAAGTGATTTATATTTTGGACTAATTTATTCTTCTAGGAGTACTTTATATAGGGGATCGAGGGGAGTAATTCTCACATCACGGTTCTACAAGCTGCCTGTTGCAAAAAAGGCTTGCGTTGATGGTGAGGAATGATGCACCAGTATAATGATTACTACAGAATGAGTAGCGATGTTGCAATTAGAGATCTATTTACTAATTGTTAAATCTAGTTTCTCTGTCGTTAGTTTACTACTGTTTTGTTTTTGTTCTACTAGTAGTTGGTTTATAGTACTCCTCCGGTCCTTAATATAGGACCCAATTCTTGAGTTGGTTTTGATTCTAAATATAAGACCCATTTCTTATATTTATCAATTTTCTCTAAATTACCCCTATGGATATCCCCTCAACCATAGTCAAGTAGAAGAGGAAGATGAGGTATTAAGAAAGATGATTATTGTGTTTTAGGAAAAATGTGTCACTTTTCTTATAATTAACTAACTTACCTAACTTCCTTAATCTAATCAAATTAGTTAAATGGGTCTTATATTAAGGATCGGAAGAGTATCTTTTTTTCAGGTGACAAGTAGTTGGTTTATATTTTGTAGCAGTTGTTATGGTTCTAGTGTGCAAATCTCATCAACTGTGTTTTGGCTTCATGCTCTACTTATAAGCGGCTTTATTTTTCAATCCCCCGCATATGATTCCCGAGGCCTACTTCAACATCTCCATGAGTGCAATCGTGATGAAACAAATGTGGACCATGAAGTCACAAGACATTGGGTTTCCTTGATACCTTGTACTAACATTATCTTTTGGAAATATGCCAGCAAATACTACCTCCGGTGTTTATTATAAGAGTTGGCTGGCTAATTTGCTTCAACATCTCCATACATGCAAACATGATGAAACAAATGTGGACCCATTAGCCATGGGTGCATCAAGAAGTCACAAGACATTGGGTTCCCTCAACACCTCATACTGACATTATCTTTTGAAAACATACCAGCAAATACTACCTCCAGTGTTTATTATAAGAGTTGATTGACTAATTTGCTTCAACATCTCCATGCGTGCAAACATGATGAAACAAATGTAGACCCATTAGCCATGGGTCCATCAAGAAGTCACATGACATTGGGTTCCCTCAACACCTCGTGTTGACATTATCTTTTGGAAACACACTAACAAATACTACCTTCATTGTTTACTATAAAAATTGGTTGACTAATTTGCTTCAACATCTCCATGAGTACAAGCATGATGAAACAAATATGGATCCATTAGCCATGGGTCCATCAAGAAGTCACAAGACATTGGGTTCCCTCGATACCTTGTACTAATATTATCTTTTGAAAACATGTGAGCAAATACTATTTTTGGTTCTAAATATAAGAGTTAATTGACTAATTTGAATAGATTAAGGAAATAAGTTAAGTTAGTTATTTGCGATAAATAGTTATGGTCTTTCCTAAAATATCATTGCTAATGAAGTGTATTTGTTAGAACTATCATTATTAGAAGGACTATCTTGGAAAAAACTATATAAATATGAGAGACAAAGTGGATTGGATTCTTATATTTATGACCAAAATAAAAGTCAAGCGAACCTTATATTAAGGACCGGAGGTAATATAAGAGTTGGTTGACTAATTTGAATAGATTAAAAAAACTAGTTAAGTTAGTTATTTGTAATAAACATGTGTTATTTTTTCTAAATTATCTTTGCTAATCAAATTTATTAGCTAGAACTACACTACCTCAAAAAAATAGATAAATATGAGAAACAAAGTGGATTAGGGTTTTATATTTAGAATCAAAATAAAAATCAAATAAACTCTTATATTAAAAACCAAAGGTAGTATATTTGTGGGATGATTTCTTTGCCCAATGTGTTGGAGCTTGCAGAGAAGTCATCCATGGAGGTGGGATGGCTGGTGTAGTGAGGGATGAATGCTTTGGGTTGTCTTGTAACAGGTTGCTAGAGTTTGGGCCTATTATCAGATTCATGCATTGGTTGCTTCCGTCCATATAATATATTTATATTTTTTTTATTTCTAAATTATGTTATTACTCTAACATTATCTTGTTCTTTTTAATATTATTTTTTATTCTTCCTCATGTATGTTATATTTATATTATTATGTACATAATATTAATTTTATTTGATTATTACATCACCTGTTCGACTGAACAACCCAACAGTTCTAATCGTTTCAATTATAATATATACTAAACTTTTTAGCTTGACGCCTGGCCCAGTTTTCAAACATTAGAAAAAAGGAAAGTTTAGGTGAGTTAAGTTATATGGGTTTATACCAACTAGACTAAATCTTATTGACAACTCATGATCATATATATATTTTTTTGCTCAAGTATAAGTATTTTCTTATTAGAGACAATCTTATTCGAGGCACTGTTGGGTACTATATGTGGGCACCTCTCCTTACGAGGATTCAAATTTTGGTTCACCACATTGTGAGGAACTAGTTCTTTCTGTTAGACCCAACCACTGTTGGTACCCATAATCATATTAAGAGACTATTTTGCTATCTAAACTCTTAACTTTGGGCTTATCCAAGCCCGTTTGCCCACGCTATCGTCCTTAGAGCCGGGAAAACGGGCCGAGCCCGTCGGGCTAGCCCGTTTAAGCCCGATTAAATCAAGGGCCGGGCTTGTAATTTGAAGCTTCCAAAAGTAAATTGGGCTTAAAAGGGCCAGCCCTGTAGGGCCTATAATTAAACGGGCTGGCCCTGCAGGGCCACGGGCCGGCCCGTTTAAGCCCGCTAATTTTTTTTTTTTTTAGAAAACCCTAACTCCCTAACTCCCTAAGTCCCTAACCGGCTAACTCCCTTTCTAACCGGCTTACCCTTCCCTTCTCTTGACCTCACCGAACAGAGTCTTCCTTCCTTCCCGAGTTCCAGATCCAGTTTAGCACTTTCGTCTTTCGGCCACCCACATCTCACTCTCAACCGTCACGACTCACGCAGACCGCAGACGCAGACTCTGGCACTCACGAGTCACCGTCGCTCAGCAGATACAGTAGCACTCACTCTTCGAGTTCGAATCGTCCGTCTTCGTCTCTCTCGGTCTCCTACTCTTCGTCTCCCAGAGTCCCAGTTCCAAACTTCCAATCTGTCTCGACTCCGACTCCTAGTCCCAGATCCCCACAGAGACAGATTTACAGACCACCGTCGGCGTCGGCAGTCACCCTCACTCCCGTCGCCTAGTCATCATCTCTCTCGGCCTCACCTCTTAGTCACGCAGATTGTTGGCAGACGGCAGTCACCCACTCACCGTCGTCGTCGCCGTGTTCCCCCTCTGCTTCCCGTGTGGCCGTGTTCCCCGTCTGCTTCCCCTGTTCCCCCATCGACCAACGAGTTTGCAATACCACCTCAATCAGCTCAAGGCGTGCATCCCCGGTCAATCAGCTCCCTTGCTGAGTTGCTGTTGCCTGTTCGTGAGTCCGTCGCGTGCAGTAACACCTCTCCACCGACCAGTGACCAGCGTGGCAGCGTCAGCATCTCTAGACAGTGAGTCTTTACTTCATTCCTGATTTTATAGCTTAGACCACCTAATTTTAGACTCTCTAAATCGTGTCTGATTTCTGATATTGATTACTGTTTAATGTTTATTTATTAATTGCCTGCTAGTATACATTAGGACGATCTTAAATTTAAGTTTTTGCTGATTGTTGGCAAGCTGGCAGCATCATGTCTAAGGCTCAAGGGACTGATGATGCGTCATTAGCTACGGATGGCAAAGGTAAATCATCTTCTCTTCAAGTGACCGAAGAATCAAAGCCAAAGAAGCCTAGGATTTTGACCTCTGATGTTTGGAAGTATTTTACTAGAGTTGAGATTGATGGGATAAATAAGGCAAAGTGTAATGGTTGTCAAAGTTTATATGCATCGGGTGGGGATAAAGGCACTTCACATTTAAGTCGTCATGTTAAGACTTGTAAAAGTCTAGATAAATTTCATGATATTGGATTGATGATGATGGACAGTGAAGGCAACATAAGGTCTAGAAAAATTGATCATAATCGTATTAGGGAGGTTATGACTATGGCCATAATTGAACATGGTCTTCCTTATTCATTTGTTGAATATAGATGGATTAGAGAACTACTTAGAATGTTAAATCCTGATGTGAGGCTCATGACTAGAAAAACGATTGTGGCTGATGTTATGAAGTTCTTCCACCAACAAAAAAATAATTTGAAACAGAAATTGCAGAAAAGTATAGGTAGAATATGTTTGACTTCTGATTGTTGGACTGCTGTGACTTCTGAAGGATATATATGTTTGACGGCTCATTTTGTGGATGAAAAGTGGACACAAAATAGTAAGATACTTTCATTTTGTAGAATGGAGCCTCCACATTCTGGGGTGCAATTGTCTAAAAAAGTGTATGATTGTTTGAAAGAATGGGGGATTGAGAATAAAATATTCTCAATTACTCTAGATAATGCATCTGCAAATGATAACATGCAAGACTTACTAAAAGAGAAGCTGCTTTTGCAAGAAAACTTTGATTTGATTTGTGGTGGTGAATTTTTTCATATAAGATGTTGTGCCCACATCCTTAACTTAATAGTTCAAGAAGGTTTGAAAGTAGCAAGTAGTGCTTTATGGAAGATTAGAGAGAGTATTAAATGGCTGAAGGCATCTGATGCAAGAATGATTCAGTTCAAGCAATGTGTTGAGCAAGTAGGTGGCATTGACACTGCAATGAGCCTACGATTAGATGTGCCCACCAGATGGAACTCTACTTATGCAATGCTTGAGAGTGCACTTAAATATCGCCGTGCTTTTGCAAACTTTGCTTTGTGTGATTCAAACTACCCAAGATGTTTTAATCTGATAAATGACGAGTGGAATAGAGCAGAGGCAATGTGCAATTTCTTGAGGCCATTTGAAAAGATAACAAGATTGATTTCTGGGTCATCATATCCTACTGCCAACTCTTATTTTATGCAAATATCAAAAATTGAGATGTTGCTTGATGCAAACATGAAAAGCATTGATGATGTGATTAGAGAGATGTCCAGAAGAATGAAAGAAAAGTTTGACAAGTATTGGCAAAATTACAATATTCTTCTTGCACTTGCTGTGATTTTTGATCCAAGATGGAAGTTTAATATCATCAAATATTGTTATGCAAAGATTGACCCTATCACTTCTTCTGAGAAGATTGCCAATGTCAAGAGCAAGTTAGATGTCATTTTCAATGAATATTCAAATATGGGGACATCAATCATATCATCTTCTAGACAAGGGTATGAAAGTGCATCAACTTGTAGATCTTCAACCCTTACAACTCATCATGTTTCTCACACTTCAAGTGCTTCAACAACAACAACCACCTCTTTTGATGATGCATTTGATGTAAGTTTTAAATTTGTCAATTAAATTTGTTTTTTATTTAGCTTGTATTTGATTCAATTTTGATAATGCAGGATTATCAAGATATCTATGCAATCATGGATCATTCTTCTATGGACAAGTCTGAATTGGAAACTTATTTAGAAGAACCAATTTTGAAGCCTGATAATTGGAAAGATTTGGATGTCTTGAATTGGTGGAAGAACAATCAAACTCGGTTCCCAAATCTTTCAAGGATGGCGGCTGATATTTTGAGCATTCCAATCACAACTGTAGCTAGTGAATCGGCTTTTAGTATTGGTTCACGTGTTCTTACGAAGTATAGAAGTTCCATTCTTCCAACAAACCTTCAGGCTCTCATTTGTGCTCGTAACTGGTTGCATGGATTTGCATATAAAGTTAATTCACTAATTTATAAGTATTCTATTACAATTATTTATGCTTTTAATTGCTTAATTGTCTATGATTGTGGTTTATTATTTGTTGCAGAGAATGCATGTGATATTGATGATGGAGAAGAAATCATTGATATTTTTAGAAGTCAAGAAGAGCCGATTAATAGTGAAGCACAATCAAATATCCTTGCAATTGATGATAGTGATGATGAAGTTTCGAAAAAATGAAGTTGCCACTGTCACTTGAAGCCTGATGTTGCTTGACATGAACTCTATGTTTTAGTTGTTTATTGTGAACTTAATGTTTATTTGGTTGTTTATCTTTGTCTTCACTCTTCTATTTAGTTTGTCTATTTAACGGATTTTACTGCGATGTGATGGATATTTTGAATGTTTATATATGATGGTGTTTCTATTTGTGACATAATTTTATTGATATTTATATATTTTATTAGTAATTTTATTATTTTGATTAAATATGCAAGAAACATGAAATTAAATATGCAAGAAACATGAAAAAATTAAATTTGTAGTTAAAAGGGCTAAAAGCCCGCGGGCCAGCCCGAGCCCGTTATCCCACGGGCCGGGCTTGAAAAATCAGCATGTTTCTAAGAATCGGGCTTAAACGGGCCGGCCCGTTTAGGCCCGAGCCCGTGACGGGCCGGCCCTGCAGGGCCGGGCCGGCCCGTTTTCCCAGTGCTAATCGTCCTTAATTTGAGTTGGATAATGCTTGCCTTGAGTTCTGGCCCAAAAAAAAGTTTTACTTGAATTAATAATATTTTGTCCAAAAAGAATAATAAAGGGCTAATATTATTTTTCATTTTGGTTTTGATTCCTAAAATTTAAAATCAATAATTTTACCCTCTGAAACAAGGTTTTTAGACAAAAATCAAGCAGACCAAAATAAATTTAAAATTTGAAAATTAAAATCACTAATTTTAAATTTTAAGAAATCATAATTAAAATGAAATTAAATTTTAAGAAACAAAAATAAAAATGATGATGGTGAAAAAAAAAAAAAAAAGCTCTCCTTGAGCATGGTATGTATGATTTGTGCGAGATTCGTTTCTTTTACTTCTAACGCAAGTAAGAAGGATTATAAAGGCTCTCGTTCTTCTATTGGCCGAACAACATCATAACGGCATTTTTATTTGTTATTAAAATTAAAAATCATTTGAATAAAAAGGAAAAATCCGCATAAATAACCAACGAACCGCGAACAAACTAGCAAACCACAAGCACGTCGTCGCCACGCGCCCCACTTCTTCTCTCTCTCGTATAGCTGTTATCGTTTGCGAATCCGAACCCCAGCGTTCTCGTCTTGACTAGGACCACCTTCCGGTGACGATCCGTACTGTAGTTCGGTGACTCTACGGCCACAGGTGAGCTCTCGCTCTATTGCTTTATTAGTCTCTTTCTCTATGTGAATCTTGATTATGTGCTCCCCCCCCCCCCCCGGCGTATGGATCGTATTCCTTTTGGGGCAGAAACTAAGATTTAAGATCCAAACGGCTTAGTTACCTTCACTTTGGCTTAACTCTTCAATACTGGTTTCAGTTGTTGGTAATTGTGATCGGGCACTTTCTCCCATGGGATATATTGTTCAACTGGTTTTTGGACATTTCATTTTATAAGATTTGTTTATTTCTGTTTATTCTATTTATAAAGTAGCTTATAGAACTCTTTGAGAACATTATATGTGAGCACAGTAGTTTGATCAACTCTGGTAGATCTATTGTTTTGTACTGTATTAATTTACAAGAATTAATTCGTAATTTCTAGGATTGCGTATGTTCTTGAGGAATGAGGGAGGGAAGTAAAGGGAAATAGCTATCAACCTTTGAACCCTGGATTGGTTTCCTAAGGTTGCAAGCTTGAATCGTAGGATTACCATTTTTAAATTTGCATATGAATATTTGCTTTCCATATGGGGCATTATCAGACTTTACATGTTTATGTTCATTCTAGGTTCATAATTATGGGGTTTAAATCCTGTAAAATTGTAGATATTCTAATTACGATTTTTTTTTTTTGGTTGGAACAATTACGAGTTTTTAATGCCATTCCAAAGTGTTGAAAAACCTGATACGTACAGAATGCACTAACTCTAGAGAATGATCCATATCTGATTTGTTTGTCATGTTCAATGTGGGCGTGTGTGCAGAATGCACTCACTGTAGAGAATAGTCCTTATATGATTTGTTTTTCATGTTCAATGTCTCTCTCTGTGTGTGAATGACAGGATTGCATCATTTTTCCGTTTGTGAATATTGAGTTAAAAGATTGACTTTGTTCAGTCAGAATATTTACATTTTCTTTTTTATAACTGTATGGCTGGTTTTTCCGTGGGTGATTCTGGATCGAGATTCTCTCTTGTGGTTATATGCTCAATGATATTTGATTAACTTCCCGAGCTGAATATTTACTCATATTCATGTTTTAGCTGATTTTTATTCCATTGTTGTGTTTCAGCGAAGGAGAAGCATTTTTACACCTGAATCATCAGCAAAATGGTTACCTTTGAAATGAATGATCGAAAGAGTAAGTGGAATCTGATCTTTCTTTTTCCCCAATGTTAGGGGATATGATGTGTTGAGTTCTTTTAGGACTCATGGCCATAGAGTTTGGAACAGTTTATCATTTACATATTACTTTGGGGGAGTATAATTGGATTTTGATTTATGTGGGCAAAGTTATAAAGATGCTGACCTGAATCTTCTGATCTTATGTGTGGGTGGGTTGGAAATAACTACGCATGAGTCCTAATGATAAAGATACTTTTTTCATTGATGCTTTAGTTTCAAAAATGCTTTTACCTAATCTTGTCACCTATTTTTGACATGATCATAGTTACTAGACTTGGTTATGCCGTGTGCATTGCGAAAGAGTACGGTTTACTGCCTCTTGGGCCTCAGCTTAAAGAAGAATCTCTGGAAAATAAAAGAAAAAGAAGAGGAGATAGTTTCTGAGCTGACTCTTGTATGAATAAATTGACTACAGTGACATCCCAGTTCTTTTAACAACTTGATGATATTTGTTCACGTCAGTAGCCAATAATAACAAATGTGAAGGGTTTCAGGCCAGCAATTTCAGAAACAGATTCAGAGATGGTATTCCAATATAGACAACTTCTAATTAGCCTCAGCCCATTAAGTCTAGCTCATCATAGTGCAGCTATGCAATAATGGATTTAGGGTGCATTTGGTTTAGCTTTTCAGAAGTAATTTTATAGTGTTTGAGGCAAGTATGTGAGAGGAGTTTTGTCTTGACTTCCGTGAAATCACCCTTAGTATATGTTCATGTAATATGATTGACCTTCATTATTTAGAAGTTACTGCAATATCTAAGGCATCTAACTGCTAATTTGCCCATGAAGTAGATGTTCACAGCGCATGTATGGGTATTTCAGGGCTTCATATTGATTTTCTACAAGTTCTTGGAGGCAGAAAACTTTTTAGATTTAGTTACCTTAGAATCATTGAAGCATAAATTTGAATTAATTTTGCAACATACAGTAGTGTCCATGTTTTGTTTCTTCTTTGCTGGTGGAAGAATATATTATCTGTACATAAGTTACTTTTCTATCTGTGTGTTGGAATTTAGCTACATCAGTTTCACATGTAAAATTTCTATGGTCCTAACATTTCATTTGATGTATTAAATTGGCACATGAACAGAGATTGGATTAGGATTAACTGGCTTTGGTGTATTCTTTTCATTCCTTGGGATTGTCTTCTTCTTTGACAAGGGACTACTAGCCATGGGAAATGTAAGTTTCCTGATATTACAGGTTTCTTGTTTATGTTGATCTTTTGTTTTATTTCGTTTAATGACACTTTTTCTAATGCTTTCTTATTTTTTGTGTCACTCAAATCAGATCCTCTTTGTTTCTGGTGTGTCCTTGACCATTGGACTAAAATCAACTTTACAATTCTTCATGAAACGGAGTAACTTCAAGGTACCTTTCTGTTGTATTTGCTTTTTCTTTCACTTGATGTTTCTTGCCCTCTTCATGGAAATTATTTTACACTATCCTATGATTTTTCTTTTGCTGGTTTTGTAGGGAACAATTTCATTTGGCACTGGATTCCTTATTCTCATATTAGGATGGCCTATTCTGGGCATGATTCTGGAGGCTTATGGGTTCATAGTACTCTTCAGGTTTTGCTGGAATTTGAAAGAAACTTTATGCTGTAATGAGTTTATTACTTTATTTAAATGTTGAAACTAATGATTGATTATGTTCTGCAGTGGTTTCTGGCCTACATTAGCTGTCTTCGTGCAAAAGATTCCCATTCTCGGCTGGTTGTTTCAACAACCATTTGTTAGATCGGTATGTTAATGTGATGAATTGTATTTACATATCATTTTTTGGCCTTCATATAAGTATTTTGTTATCGCACTGTATTCATCCCTGTTAATTTAAGGGTGTTCATGGGACGGGACGCGACAGCTTTTCCTTCGTGTGTCCCGTCCCGTCCTAATAGCATCATGTCCTGACGTCCCGTCTTTTTTTTTTTGGATTTTTTTTTAACTTTTCTAATTTGAAAACTAATTATACATGAAGTATAAAAACTTATGATAAAAACTATATGAAGAAAGTAGATTAAAAATAAGGAAACAATGGCCAAAAAAATATTTTTTGTAATCTTGAGAAACAAAAAATAAACAAACCTAAAATGTTCACCACAATGAATATCATGCAACTCATACAAAACAACTTATAAACAAATGAAAAAAAAAAAACATTTGATAAATATCATTACCAAAATACTATTGTAATGATAAATAAAATAAATTTATAGCAATTAAAAATAAAGATAATATAGGACGAGATACTCCTGTCCCACGTCCCATCTCATCCCACGTCCCTTACTGTTCTGAAACCGTTTTGTCCCGTCTCGCTTTTGTCTTTTGGGATGGGACTATGCTGTCCCAAAATGACTGGGACAGGAATGGGATGTTGAGACGGAACACAGTTGAACACCTCTACCTATTTTGCTGCTAACCTAGTATGGGCATTATGCTTTGACAATCATGACTTATTATGGAAGTCATATGGAACGATATAGTTGCTATTGATCAGGTACAATGACCTTCACAAATGTGAAGAACAAGCTGACCTTAAATGACAAGCTATAGTCTCACAATATTGGAGTTGTAGAGTCTCAAGTTTGCCGTTACTTCAGTGATGTGAATTCAGTTAAGAGAAAACTGTGTTTGGTCTTCTGTCATCACTGACGTGAATTAGTTTGGCCAGCTTAGTTGG